TTTTATAGATAATTTATTTATTAATTTATATATTTATTCAATCAGGGTTCTTCTTTTGTATATATTTATGTCCAGGGTTTTATATTTTCTTTATATTTCAGATAGAACATGAAAAAACATATATCTAAAAGTGTTAGTTCTGTAATGTCTATAATATGTTTTTGAAAAATGCCTCAATGAGTTTTCCAAACGAATTTTGCTTCAAAATCTCAGTACTATAGATGCAATAAGAGTTAGTTAATCTTTTAATCTTCAATTTTGTCTATTCATGCCCAAGATGCAAACTAGAAGTAATACAAAGACACAAAGTTGATGATTTATATAGTTTGTTAATCTTAACCTCACTTTGCCGTTTAAAACTAGGTGCGATGAAGAGATACCGTCTTTTGTGGCCTATTTAGTCTCTTTTCGTTTCCAAATGTCATTCTTGTACTTCTATATTCTAGATCTAGATTTGGTAGTGATTCAATCTTTCCCATATCATCAGTGTAGCTAGTCCATTCTTAATGTGTTCTTTTGTTAATGAAAATTGATTGCTTCATGGTTTCATTAGTTCTTACAAATCTAGCCCATCTGTCCATATTTCTGTCTAATTTGAGTGTAGTTTTCAATGTATTCTGATATTTCCATGAACATGAGATTTTAACAATGACTGATTATAACCCAAAAACATATAATTACCCGAATAATAGTTTAAGTCATTTTAGATAAATTTATTGGAGGTTGAAATTACCCGAACTAAGTTTTGGACTGGTCACAGAGGAAGGGGAACAGCTGTTAATTTAAAAGAAGTTCTATCTCTTTCTTTATAGTGTGAAGAGAGTGTAAATGAATGAATTAAAAACAAAGTTATGGAGCTTGTTAAATTAAAGAATGTTTGATTTTTAACAGGGTCTCCAAAATGTGAGGACTGCCCCTGTTTGTATTGCAATTTGCTTCTGTAGAAATCCGTCTCTTAAAGAAATTACAAACTTTGAATGTCATCCCATATTAACCTCCTACTACTGACTTACTGTTTCAGGTCCTGCAGAGATGCCAAAAGATCATAGGGTGAATTCATTGTCAAACAACCGAGTTAGGGCATCTCCTTATCATCCATGCAGCTTAAGGGAAACTGGTGTCAAGTCTGAAAAGTCATCCCCAATAGTAGGGGATGAAAGAGAGTGGGAGGAAGCCAGGTGCCCAATATGTATGGAGCACCCACACAATGCCGTCCTATTGTTATGCTCCTCTCTAGAAAATGGTTGCAGGCCATATATGTGTGACACAAGTTACCGCCACTCGAATTGTCTTGACCAATTCTGCAAGTCATTTGCTGCTCGACAACCTATTCTCCCTCCCACATCAGCTACATCCTCTCATAGAGGTAGGATGGAGCGATTAATGCATGCACATATCAGGTCTCTTGGAAACCAACAGCTTGTTTGCCCTCTTTGCCGTGGACAGATCAAAGGGTGTGTCGTTGTAGAGGCTGCTAGGGGGCTTATGAATTCTAAGACAAGGAGTTGTTCACGGGAGACATGTGATTTTACTGGCACATATGTCGAGCTAAGGAAGCATGCTAGAGAAGAACATCCATCTCACCATCCGTCCGAAACCGACCCTAGACGTGAGTCTGAGTGGACAAGGTTGCAGCTCCAAAGAGACTTTGAGGATACTCTTAATGCTTATCAATCACATCTCACCGACTTTGATGAAGATTACATTGTTAGCCTCGATGAGGAGTTCTCAATCTCTGGTTTGGAACACGAGTTCCCCTTCTCTTTTCATTTTGACGAATCACCTTTTGATCTATCAGATTTCAATGCCTGGTTTGCTGATGATGAATTGTTGTTCTACGAGGACGATGATATACTACTACCTGAGACTCTGTCAAATTATTTCATGGAAGATCCCAACTCTATAGAAAGTGTAGACAGGCATCCTATGGAAAGTAGGTCCAGGAGTTCTACTCTGCACTCAAATAATCAATTACATGAAACTAGGTCAAGAAGGTCAACAGAAACCTCTAGTCATCATTACCGGGAACATTCTGTCTCCAGAACACCAAACAGCAGGCATAGAAGCTCATCAACACGTCGTTCAAATGATCGTATTGATGGTGGATCTGCTTCTAGGAGAAGGGCAGGTAATTCAGCAAGGCGTGCCAGCAGCAGATCAAGGTCACAGCAATGGAATTATGAATCCGATAATGATAGTGATTTTTCATGGTACTTGTGTGATGAAGTCATTATTATTTAGCTTTTCGTCAGCTCTCCTCATTGTTTTTTGGTTTGACAAGGGGGTTGGAACCTTATTCGGAGTAGTGCTCATCTGATAATTCCAGATTTCCGGATGTCATGCATCAATTGTTTGTATTGTTATACTTGCTCTGTCGATTTGCTATTCCTAATTTCCTATAAACCGTAACATTTCTTCAAAAGTAAAGGGTGTGCTATGTTTAACTTGTTTGAATTTTAAGTGCACCCAGTACTTCACATTATCTTCAAAAATGTAATGAGATGGAAAAAGCAAGCCACTTTCTTGAATACACCCACTACAAGCTTTTTTTAATAAAAAAAATATAGTGGAACTAGATATATAAATTATCACAAATACTTAATAAGCAAGGATACTGGTTGTGTACTTGTGTTTACACTGCCACTCTCAAGAATTTCAATTTCAAATATATTCTACAAATAAGGCCCGTTTGGTATACTTTCGGCTTGTAAGTCGCGATCAGCAATATTTTTACTAAACATTTAACATTTGAATTTGCTATTAAAATAAGCAAGCGTGTAACTATTTTTCTCTCTGGATTGGTTGATTTTAGTTAAAAAAAAGACTATTTTAGCATTTTCATAGAAGAAAATTGATAATGATTCTGGATCGTTGAATTGTATTATGTGGAAACGTGGAATTGAATGTGTATTAGGTGAAACTAAAATGTGAATTATATGAAATTGAAATGTGAAACACAAAGGGGTGCGACATAGTGACATTATGTGAAACTAAGTTATGCATTAGATAGAACTTAGGGGGGTGTCCGCAATTCGGATTCTGGAGGATTTTAATGGAGTTTAGAATTCCATCAGAATCCAGGTGTTCCCAATTTAGATTTCTGTGAAATCCATGAAAATAAGGGTGTCCTCAAACATTTCGTGGATTTCTATTGTTACTTATTTGGATGAATTTTAATGGATTTTGATGGATTTCTACATACAAAAACAATCCATCACAATCTTGTAGACTCCCCTTGGATTTCAAAATCCATTGATGGAGTATATGGCCCAAGAACCCCGGCCCACATACCCCTACTACCTTAAAACAGGCCCAACAGGTCCCGGCGGCCCGGATACACCAACCCAAGCTACACAAGGCCCATACTATGTGGGGGACGCCTTCGGCATCATTGCTGAGGGCCCAAAACTCAAGGACACGACTACTTTTGGTCCAACAACTTTACTGATAAATTTGGTCCCAAGGATCAGATTTCGGCCCTGGTACCAAGGGCCTCAGAATTTGGCAGGAGCTCCTCTCCACTAACGCCCGACCACCACATTAAATGTGGTGCCACATGTTGTGCCGACGCCACCTCAGTTGAGATAACTCTTCACCATAGACTAACTTACACATGTATATGCATTAAATGCGCTTAGCACTTGTGGCTGATATAAATAACGCCCCTTGGGATGTTGTAATGGACGACTAATTCATTTATTGCATCCCTATTCTCTCTCTTACTTATTGCGCTCACTTCTCTCTAGATACCGCTAGTGGTATCCCGATATAGACTCTCTATCATTTGGTGCTCTCGTTGAGAGGTCGAGCAATCAAGTAAGAATCCTCCCATCTAGAAAACGTATAGCTCTTACTAAAAAGGGTAGGACTAGAGGTCAATCAAAGACTGTAGAGGATAACAAGCTAGGACTCGGGGAAACCAACGACGCTGAAGCCTCCAACAGAGCCCCTGAAGGCGGGACCATTGCTGAAATGGAGATGGCCGTTGCAGACCTTCGCCTTCAGCTAAAAAAGAATGCCCCTGACACCCGTATCACTACTAGAATTTTCCTTATTTGCTGCTACCCAATTGCTGCGGTTCTTAGTAAAAACGCATCAAATAGATAAAATTTATATGTATTTGCTGCGTTTCTACAATAACCGCAGCAAAAATTAGAAAATTTGTTACTTTTTGCTGCGGTCCTATCGGAACCGCAACAAATACTTATAAATTTTTGAATTTTATTTTATTTTTTACTTTTGTGCTGCGGGTAAGGGGAACCGCAGCAGCTAGAGATGACAATTTCGGCCGACCCGTTGGATACCCGCACCGAACCGATTTGGTCAAACTGGGGAAAACCGGTTTGACTGGGGAATGGGTACGGAGCGGGGAATACCCGAATTTTTTAAATGGTTAATGGTGCGGTTATGGTTCTATACTAATCCACCCCGTTATCCGCCCCGAAACCGCCCCGTTCACTAGTGGTGCGGGTACCCGCACCGTTACCCGATCCATAACATTATTAATAAATTATAACTTTTTATATATAAGAATAATAACTATATATGCTAATTTGTGTATACTAAATAGTATATATATCATATAAATAATGCTCCTAAAACTAAATATAGGCCTAAACCTGTTTTTGAAATTTGGATTCTGGGATGATTACTACTTTTTATTATGTTACAAGAGATATTGGGTGCATGTCATACTAATGAATTTAGGTCAGTCTGTTTGATTGCTTAAATATTTACTTTTGTATGTTTTAGGGTGCTTTGAATATATAAATAACAAGTAGGATTAAAAATTGGTTATTTCTTTTCCAAAAAAAAATTGGTTATTTGGTATCATTTAGGGAAACGGTTACCCGTGGATAAACCGATTCCCCGTTGGGGCGGGTACGGTTCAAATAAAAATTACCCGAACGGGTAATGAGTCGGTTTTGGGGCAAACAATTATACAATTGGGCGGTTCCGATTTTATGTGTACCCGTCCCCGATCCGCCCAGTTGCCATCACCGGCAGCAGCTACATTGATTTTCCACGCCTATACTTGCTACGGTTATAAGCGAACCGCACCAAATACCCCTTATCCAGCCCACCGCCCAGCAATTTTTCACGCCTATTTCCTCTTCCCCTCATTCCATCAACACACTTCAAACCCTCCCAAAAATCCAGCCCCCTCTCGGCAGCTTCCGGCCGACGTCTTAGCGCCGCAGCTGCAGGTCATCGTCGACGCCGCCACATCTTCTCTCCGCTACTGCTGCCGCAGTCTCAGGTCTTCGTTGACGCCGGCCGCCGCAGCTCCAAGCAGATCTCCTCACCGACGCTGCCGCAGAGCCTCTCGATCCGCCGACGCCACTGTCACAGTCTCCTGTTCTTCCGTCAACTTCATCTTCTCTACAATTCATTGTTATCTTTGTTCTAAGGTTAGTTGTTATTAACTTACCCTCTTAATATTTTGTGTTTACCCCCTATCGTGTATTGTTCAAGGTTAGTTGTTCTTTTTTATTATCCGTGAAATTTGAAGTCCCAAACTCTCTCAATCATTCTCATGTAATTTTATTAGCTTCATTGTGAGAATACGTTTAGATTGTTATACGATGTTCTATGCCAAAAGCTTACAAACCCAAAAAACGGGACACCAATTTCATTATTTTTCTCTATTGTTATTCGATTTCTGTTTGGAAGGGTTCTGGAGTTGCATTTTGCATTTCATTAAGGAGTTGTTTTTCCTAAATGTAACTCATAAAATACAGAGTTTTTTTGGAGCAATTCACTTCACATTGACCTCATACATCTAAGTTGTTGGCTGCCTACTTTGATTAGTTCATATCTTTTCGTTTCTACCTAAGACGCTATTAAAAAGGATTTTGTGCTAACATGGCAAAAATATCTCCTCAAACATACCTGTGAGTTTTCATTTATTTATTCTCTAAGAAACGTCCCTTCCAAAAAAAATTCTCTAAGAAATGTGAGTTTCAATTCTTTCATCACAATAATCTTTAGCTCTTCTAGCCTTCTTTACTATGATAGTATGATAATCATGTTCGGAAATTAAACCAGACAAGTCCATGTCTTACTTGAAAAACATGATGGCCATGATTATGCATATTGAAAGAAAAATTGTAGGTCATTTAGAATTTTCTGCTTTTTATTATACTAACTGCTGTTATGTGTTTTTATAAGTGAATGGTGGTGTAAATTAGTTTTTTGGTTATTAATACTAGTGACTGAAATACTTCCAAAGATATTTTAAAAAGAAAAGCTATGATTTTCCACTTCAAGTATTCTACATATTATCTCTAAAGTTTGTTCTATCAATTGTTATTAGAGTATATGATACTATCAACTTAGTTCAAATACTTTTGAAAAGCAGTTCAGCCTGACTTTTAGACCACAGTTCCTAGTTCCTGGTTAATATCAGAAGGATTTGTTTCATACATCTCTTCAGCCTTCAAAACTTCCTGCTCCTTTGTTATAATTCTTCAAAAATGTTACCAAAAGCCATTTTATTCCATTCCCTGAGATCCTGTTTAAGCTACTGTAATTTCTTATAGAAACCTCTCACTCCCCAACATTCCGAGAATGAGACCAACTGTTTTCAACTATTTTCATAAAAGAGTGATGATTAATCCACATATTTTGAAACCAAAATGGCTTAGGACCCTTGGGCAGTTATAATGGATGACTAATTCATTTATTGCATCCTTATTCTCTCTCTTCCTTATTGCTCTGACTTCTCTCTAGATACCAGTATACCACTAGTGGTATTCCGGTGTAGACTCTCTATCATCCATTTTATTTAAAATCCATCAAAGTCATAAAAAGTACGTTGTAGTGGCATTTGTGTACCTTTTATTCTGCACATTTCAATTTCTCCTGATGCACACTTGTGTTTTACCTTTTACTCTACACATTTTAATATCATCAATGACATTTTAGTTTCACCAAACACACAATTCGTTATCACATCATACAATCCAATGATTGATATTGATTATCATTTCTCTCTTGAGAGCATTTCTGTATTGATTCACATCATACAGCCTAGCACTTATGGCTGCTATAAATAGCGCCCCAATCTTGGATTGGGTTCTGTTTGGATGGATTTCACCTCTGTGTGAAGGCGATTGGGGGTGCTCGAGGTAGGCAATTTCTGAATCAAGTTCTGAGCAAGAGAGACGACAAATCGCAAGTCCGCCAGCGGTTGATTGGGCCTACGGCCAGGGAGGGGGCAGGCCTACAATCATTTTTTTTCTCACTAGTATATGTATATATATAAATGAGGCCCATCCTCAATTAAAAAATGTTAATGTACAGCAGTCTTGGTCAGTAGTTCCCTTCGCCCGCGCAAGTCCACTCTTCCCAGGCTTGGCTGGAATGGTTGATTCAGGATGTTTTTACTTGGACTATAATTTGCTGGTCTGATCTGGTCTGGTTTCTTTGTATTTTTATAACTACCCAAGTCTGATCTAGTCTGATCTGGTTTGGTCTGGTCTGGTCTGGTCTGCGACAAATTACATTCCTAAGTAAAAACATCTTGAATCAGCCATTCCAGCCGAGCCCAAAAGTAACACATGGCCCAAGATATAAAAATTCCAAATCCAACTCTATGACCGCAGGGCAGAGGGCATCGAGTCGGCAACCGTAGAAAAATATCCCAATTCGTAACCTAGCAGTCTAGCACGCAGCAACCCATCGTTGATTGCTGCCTCGCTGGTCAGACGGGCGCACGACGGTTCAGCACGGATAGCCGGACAAGCGGACCCGAATCACTGCTGGTTTCTGCAATCTGCACGGCTGCACTCCTGCACCAGCTGGTTGATGCTCTTCGGTGTTAACAACAACTAGTAAGTTTGTTAACTGATTGACTTTTTGTGTTTAATGGTTAATAGTTTTGTTTTATTGTGTTTTTTATTCAATTTAGCTGTAAAAAAACTAAATTACAGCCTTATTTAGTATGGATTTGCTTGTGATTTGTTATTATTAATTTAATTATTTAGTTAATACGGAGTAGTATTACTGCAGTAACTAGTAATTTCATTGATTTCAATAAAAAAGTAATAAAGTGATACTATAACCCTGTTGAAGTGGGAGCTATTGAGTATTGAAGATAGTTCATCCAGAATTGTCCTCAACTGCCATTCAAGAAAATTCAAATACAAATAATGAACAAAACGACATAAATAATAGACAATCATTCATTGTTGAAGAGTTTGATTCTTCTCAACTACCATCTGACCTTGAATTTTCAGCAATGAATATCGTGAAGGATAGATTGAGCAATCCAATGAGTGATGACGGGCTCAATGATAGATTTATTGTTTATGTTGAAAAATACATCTTCTTGAAAATTGGCAATGATGTCATTATCAAGCGATATCAGTGGATGAAAACCCGTAGAAAATAGTTGTAAATTTGTTTTTTTTTTGTATTTCACATTTGATGAAAACTCTTATTCCTATAATATGTTTTTTTTGTCTTTGATTTTGTTGTTAAAATAGATGTTTTTTGCAAAGTATGTTATTTAATTATATTTTGGTCCCACCTGGACGCCAAAGCTAGATCCGCCCCCTCCTGAACCGCCGCCCTGGAACGATTGAGGTGCTAGAGTTTGGAAGAATATTGGCAGGAGAGCTTGGACTGGGCACTGGGCCGGACTGCATGAGATTTTTTAGAATTTTATACCTTATAAATTAAGACATTTTTTAAATTTGGGGTGGGTTATGGCCTAGGTTGGATGTACGCGGTCTTACTCTACTACAGCATAGAGACTCAGAGAGACTGTTTTCGAATGACCCATGATGAAAATTGTGTCGGAAATTGCATGGACTGACTGCTTCTTCATAACAAAGAAGCGCAAACAGTTTAGTGAGCCATTTTGCTTTATTCCATCTTATTTCCAAGCTAAAAATAGTGAATCTTTGGCTCCAATTGTGTGAACATTTGAAAATAGTAAGAGACAAAGTCAAATTATCAAAAGTATAAAGCTTATCATTTTCAATTGAACTTTGTCATTCAAATCATGAAACTTCTAAATAGCCTTATAACTGTATTGGTAAAGTTTCATAAAAAGTGCAACTGAATGTGGATGCTTGTATTCCTATTGCTCCATACTGCCATACATGTGTCATTTGGTAATATCTCCTACATATATAAAGCCTCACTTAAACGGCGTCCAAAAAAATCCGCCCCTTTTCCGTCAAAACACGGTTCCGTCATCCCTATTTCTCACGTCCCTATATTCATTTTTTTCTTCCCAAATTTCTTTCCCGTTCGAAGCCCGTGCAAAGTCTATTTTTTATCTCCTCATCAGCATCACCTTCACGCAAGAAGCGAAAGTATACTGCGTATCTTATCCGTACATCTCCTCCACTCGGATTGGGGCTCTTCATCTCCGCTAATACGATTGTCTTGGTGCATTAAAAATCATCTTATCCAAGTTCTGGTATTGTTGATCTATATTCTTCTAGGGTTAATCTCAATATATTTTGGCTATTTTTTTCTTTGAATTCTTCGTGATTCTCACTCATATTTCTCTTGGTGAGTCATTTTTGGGTTCGATTCATTGATGAGTTCTTTTTATTCGGGTGATTCCAGTAAAATCATACTGAATTTCAGGTGGTCAATAGTAAGATTCTTCTTTTTGATCAGTTCATTTCTGGAGTAATAATTTATATAATACTGAGTGTTCAATTTGTTTGAATTCTAGAGAATTTGTGAAATCTTAATATTATTACTCCAGATAGTATTATTTAATAAAAATTAGATCTTTCAAACTAGACAAACTTTTTCATATCCGGCCATCGGGGTAGTTTTAAATAGAGAAATTGTCCAATATATAAGTAAACATAAACATAATTGCACAAATAGGAGTAAAACTTAAAACTTCCTTCAATAGGAGTAAACATTAATTTTATACCCTTAAATCCTTAATATCCCTAACCTAGCTAATTCTAAAATATGACTTATTTGATCCTATTAAAAAAACTAAGTTCATTCAATGGAAACGATACCTCTATGCAGGCATTTTAATTTTAAAAATAATCTAACTTCATCCCAACAATATTAAAAACTAAAAAAAAAACTTAAAAATAAAAAACTAAAAAAAAATAAATAGATAAACTGCATTAAAAAATTATAAAAAAAAATTATGCAAGTCTTTCCCGCAGCCTCAGTCATCACCCAGCAATGTCACCCCCGATAGGAGAAAAAAATATCATTTTATATAAAAAACTGTCATTTTTCTTTGAAAATGCCATAAAGACGACAGTTTAACTCTTTGAAAATGCCAAATTTTCTCAAAATCTGCCATCATGATGGCTTTTTTTTCGGTGCTCAGAGCTGGTGGTGCTGGGAGGCTGTTGAGGCGGCGGCATAAGCCTACATATTATTTTATATGTTTTTCATTTTTTTAATTTTAATTTTTTTAGTTTTTTATTTTTATTTTAATAATTTTTATTTTATTTAATACAGAATATATTTTATTTGATATTTTTTTGTTTTTTTTTTTGTTTTTTACAATTTATTTATAAATTTATTAATCTTATTTCTTTTATGTTTTAATTATTAATGAAAGTTGTTGGGGCTTGGGTAGAGGTATGCTTATCCTAACATTAAAGTTACTCCTATTCAAAACATGGTACTCTTGTTTTTGCATTTTGCCTATCTTTTACTTCTATTTGGGGAATTCTCTTTTTTAAATATGAAAAAGTGAAGAGTTGGGCACATTCCCTTCGCACAATGTGCTAACATAGCTAGTAAGTCATTAAATACTACTACGTATCATATTATTTGAAAACTAGAAAGTGGCAATTTTAATATAAAAAATACAAGGGTTCTGTTTGACACTGCTGGCCCGCTATTAGGAGATCACTTCCATGAAAATATGAGCCTATTAACGAAGTGTGGCTTGGCCGGCCTTTATCCTTTCCCAACATGGGCCCATGTTGCCTTCTTCGGGGCAGAAAGGGAGAAAACACAGGAAACATAAAAAAAATCAGAAGCTCTTACTTACCCTCTTAGTTCGTTTATAAGCTCATACTAGAATTTTAAAGGGTTGATCTTTTGTACTTTTCCTCAGGTAGTCCTCCTCTTTTCATTCTGTTCTTTTAGGTTTGTAGTTTTTGCCTTGTCCAGCTATTTTTCCATATTCTCTGTTGATCTGACAGTTGCTTGGTTATCTATGATAAATTGTTTCTATGACTTTTTTCTATTCATATTAATGACAAACATAAGGCATTAATTTTTGTTGTTCTCAATTCCCAAACAGTTGTTCTTGATTATGGTACTGCCTTCCTCCTAATTTTTCTACCTTATTCAAAATTTATGGGGTTAACCTAATTGCATTTTATTCTCTGATTTTGTTGCCAAATTTTTATCATATCCTGAGTCAGTTCTTCCGTTCAATAGAACTTTTTGTAGTTTCTGAATATGAATGTCAATTATTATATAGTAATTTATAAATGATGTTAGTGGAACTCTGATTTTGACTTCAGTTAAATCTCATTATCCATAATTTCACAAGCAAGTTAGGACTGAAGTAGTATTACATTATTACTCTGTGAAACTCCTGCTTGTGAAGCACCATTAGTGGTTCGTACTTTGTATAATCTCTATTCATTCCTTTTTATTGATAAGTAAAATAATGCAAAAGTTTTGCAGATTTACGTGTTTGAGGCAGTAACAGCTCTAAGATTATGGCGAGGTCATTATCTAGCATGCTCTTAAAAGGTCTTGCTGCTCATCCTGCTACGCGTTCATCCACCGTTGTAAGATTCAATCCTAGGTGATCCGTCATTTCATTTCATTTTCATTTACCCCAGTGCCGCAAAGGCTCCCACCTACGGTGGGGTAAAATCCTAGGTGATCTGTATGTTACAAAAATTTATTAAGAACACTACATATTATTGTGTTGAGTTCTATTCATAACAGGAATGCAAAAGATCCATTTACTCAGCTAGGAATCGGTTCTTCACTTCTGTGCCTAATGATCCAGATACACATGCCGATTTTTTACCTACAAGTAAAGTTGAGAGTTCTGGTATTTCATTGAAGGACATTATTGAGCAGGTTTATAATTTCCTTTCAAAAACTTTTTGTTGGTCTTGTTTTAATTTATTGGCTAGTCTTACGCTAATTCGGTTATAATTTGTTCTTTTTGGGGTTTAATGCCACTTATGTATGTCTTAGTGACCCATATGTAGGATGTCAAAGAGAATCCTGTTATGCTTTACATGAAAGGGATGCCTGAACAGCCTCGGTGTGGGTTCAGCTCTCTAGCAGTGAGGGTACTACAAGAATATAGTAAGCAACTAAGCACAACTCCATTTAGTTGTTTATGGTTCTCAAATTCTCATTCATTTATGCACTACCATGGCAGCTGTGTTGTAGGGAAAATGGCGAGTAATTCCATTTAAAAGTTTTTACTACATTAGTCTAGGCAGTGTCTAGGCGTCTAGCTGCTCTCGATGCAGTTCTTGCATGAGCTTAATCTTTTATGATATTTATGTGCTTTACACTTCATAACATGTATGTTTCCCGCTTACATATTTTTTGGGATGCTTTGTCTTGATGATAGTTTTAGCATTCTCACAAGTCACAACTATCTATGTGAGTTCGTGACACATAATTCCTAGAATATGACTTGTTTAGCACATGTCTTAAACTTGTGAACTATTGATGATACAAGTTAACAAGTTTTGTGAAGCCATAAAGTAGTCTATAAACTGTTGAAAAAAAACATATTATTACAGTACGTCAGCGTAGATGCTTCTATTATATGTTAGGATTACGGAATGAAAAGTATTTGCAGAAGGAATAGTATTTAAGTGTATTATTGTATGATTTCATTTATTTGTTGTATTGGCATGGCTAGGAGACAACCATCAATTGAAATTTAGGAAATTATTTAATTGATTGGTGTGCCTAGAAATAGCCTTACATCAGAACAATTGGATTTAAAACGGCCTAATTTATAGGTAAATCATGGTCAATCAGTTTTGGAATCTTTTAATAACAATTTCTTTGCTGTTTCTTCTACACTGTCTTGCAGATGTATCTAGTGCAAAAGAAAATTCTCATTCCGCTTGTGCTTTTTGCATATTGCATTAAAAAAGTATAGTATATTTCTGAATTTCTGTTTTTTTTTGTCATGTGTGCTTAAAATTCTTTTGATGTATACAGATGTTCCTATAAGTGCTAGAAACATATTGGATAATTACGAGCTAAAGGATGCTGTAAAATCATTCAGGTAATTGACGGTATGATATTCATGATCCTGGCAAGCAATGAGAACAACCTAGAAGGCTAGAACCATTGGTTTCATGATATTAAAAAACATGGATTTGAGAAAAATTTGAAATACATGTCTTTGTTGAGGAATATGTTGGAGTGATATGGTTATAGACTGATTTACTACAAGTTTGTTAACAAAGAACAACACTACACACATGATAAACTATATGATCGCTGATGTGTATGTATTGTGCAGCAACTGGCCCACATTTCCCCAAATATTCATCAATGGAGAATTCATTGGTGGGTCTGACATCATCCTCAGTATGCACCAGGTAATTTTCATGCCTATCATGTTTTTGCTATTCTCTTCCTTGCCCAATAAAGCGCTGAAGCCTTTTTTTCTTTCTGTTTGTCATGCAGAATGGAGAACTCAAGGAAAAGTTGCAAGGCATTGGCAAGCAAGGGAAAGCAAAATGAATCGTAATTGCAAAGACGCAATGTTTATGATGAGAAATATTTTGAGGTTTTTAGTAACAGAGTTCAGAAAAGTGTTTATTTCTGGATGTCATATTTGGTATAATTCAAACACGTCCCTATTTATGAGTTCTTGTGTATGAGGAATCTATTATATCCAGTTTGTGCACTCTGGGAAATAAAGCATTGTTGTTCTTTTATACCTTAATTATTAACCATGGTTAATGACATTTTAGAAACTGTGTCAGATGATGTAAATGACTGTAAATCATGTCCCGTTTGAGGAGCATTCAGATCTGTTGGAGAATTGAGAATCCGGTTCGAATGGTAAAACCGAACCAGAGGAATCGGAACCACATTGACCCGGAGTGATGTCCTGCCCAGTTTTTGGCAAAGAAATACGTTGTAGTAAAGACCCGGTTCAGTTTCAACTAAAAACTGGATCATCCTGGTTTGAAACTGAATCTGAATCAACTTGTTTTGATGAAAATAATAACATGAAAAAAGTAAAAGTGTCGAGATGAAAAAATCAAAAAGGGAAAATTTCTAGTGAGAAAGGAAAAATGATATACTATGAGATTGTTTTGAAAAGATCTGTGAAAAATGAGATTATTTATGTAAGATTTTTAAAGAAAACTAAAAAAACTTGGTGTAGCAATGCAAAATTCCCGAGGTGCCGAAGTGCAAAATATAGGTGGAATTATTTTTATGAATTTTTCCAATTATTTTTGTAAATAAAGTAAAGTTTTTATGCATCCAATTGAATATAATATATTGTATGTTAGTATCCGTGAAAAATAAAATTATTTATGTTAGATTTTTAAAGAAAAACTAAATAACCTTGTTGTAGCATGTCAAAATTCCTGAGGTGCAAAAGATGAAATTATTTTTTATGAACTTTTCCTATTATTTTTCTAAATAAAGTACAGTTTTTATGCATCCGATTGAATATAATACTATATTGTATATTTGTATGTTATTTAAACTTGCTGGTGAAAATCATATTCATACAATAGTGTATAGTACACATGCGTACGTAGTATATAGCATTCCTGTTAGTATTGACATAATTTTCATTAGTACGAATTCATTTTGGGGGTGTTTGGTTAATGGCCTATCAGCCATTTTTTAGCTGTTTTGACCAATATTTAGCAGTTTGACCAGATGAATCAACTAATAGGGTGTTTGGTTACATAGCTTTTTCATTTAGCTTTTTTTATCCAAACAGCCGAATTTTAAAAAGCCACAAAACCTGGCATTTAGGAATCGGCGGATTCAGTTTATCGTCACTAATTCTCCTCAACAAAAGAAACTGCAAACTTTTGCTCTCCAGGTTTTCTCAATCTGTGTACTCCCTCTTGATCGAATGATTTCCGTTTTCTATTTTATTTCTTTCAACTAAGTGATGATGTACTACGTAGTTGTTTCGTTAATTACTTCGTATGAACAAGAATAATGAACAAGGTTCTGCCAAATTGACATTTTGATGCTATGAAAGAATATTAGAATAATGAATGGATTTCATCTCATATATAAGGAGTAGGAGTCTGTCAATTCATCAAATGAGTTGCTGGAAAATTTGTTTTTTTTTGCTTTTCATTTCAACTCATACTAAAATTGGGTTTTAGCTGCTATTTATTCCCATGGCTCCTACTGATATTGAGTTTTGCTGCTATTTTAGTCCCACGGCTCATACTTTGCCTTCATTTTTAGATGCTCCATATTAGTTTATTTATTTTATTTAATGAGATGTTTATTTTTATTTTGCATAGCTAATTCAGCTATTACGTTTAGGCCTCACCCAAGATGCTCTTAGCCTCTATTCTCTAATTAACAAGTAGCTTGTGGCTTAGTAATTTAGGTGCTATGAATTTTATCCAACTTTCTGTTTCTGAAATTTAGGTGCCTCTAATATATGTGAATTTTTTTAAGATACATTAGCTGTTAGGATGAAGTGATCACTATTCACTAATATTTTAATTATGATGACATTAATATTTAAAAACATTTTTTATTTTTTTACATAATATTTCTCAGTATATTTTTACTTATAATGGTTATAGGTATTTTAGTTTATTAATACATTAAAAATTATTTATAAAAGATTTGTTTTTAATATTTTTAGTTTTTGTAAATTATAAAACAAGTTATGGGCTAGTCATGCAAATACCATTGACAAAATGTATAATACGTATATAAAAAGTAATTAGTAAATAAAAAATTAATTGATGTACTTAAAAGTCATTCAAAAAATTATCAGCTAATTGTAAACAATCATTTAACCAAACACCATTTTACAAACTGCTAATACTATCAGCCGATCAAAACAGCCAACAGAATCCGCTGTTATGAATCAGCCAACAAAATAAGCCAACTGCCATTTGCCAAACAACCGCTTTATATCTAAAATGAAATCAAATTTTACTCAAAGTTGACTTTTAATTTCATATTTTAAATTTGTTCGAAGAGATAATACATATGCAGCGATTAAAAATTACCCATATCTACTACCATCGCGTCTTGACTTTAAATACTGATCCAATCCTTAGATTTATCAAATTAGGCCTAATTTAGTTCTTGCGTTTTGCTTAATGAACACTTTAAAAAAGCACACTTCACAATATACAAAAAATTAGCTTTATTTACAAAAATATCGTCGCATTTTTCGTTCATTTTAGTGCACAATCAAGTTTCAGATAATGTGCAAATAAGTGCAATTCTCAAAATCCAATGCTCCTAATTCACTCTCATTTTACTCCTTAGACCACATTCTCTTTTTAACCAAATTCTAATTTTAAATAAACACCACAAAAACATTACTTTTAACCTTTTTAAAGCTAAAAAGTGAAAACCACTTCTCAAAAAGCAAAACATGTAAAAGAAAAAGTGCCAGTGGGCCGGAGAACATAAACTTAGTGAAATGTGATAAATTTTCTATAGCAGTTATAAGAATGTAGTGTACACAGAGAACGCCATAAGAATGGTGTTTACTTGTAGTGTCATGCACATTAACGAATTAACTCAATTAAGTACCAGTTTCTTGTGTTGCCTATACTGATACAAAAAAAGAACATATTTCAAAAAACTTGAATGATTACAACATCCCTACAGGACGACTCCCCCCTCCCCTATGGATTATAAATCAGAAGAATTAATTACCACAAACTCCGCCATGGAAATTGCTCAACTATTTATTGTTAGCAGAGCACAAATATCGAAGCAGATATTCGTTGGACGAACAAGTATCTGCCAAATCCTGATGCAATCTTGTAATTGCTTTCTGCAACGATTTCAGGGCAGGAAGCAAATTTCTTGAATTTTGTTGAATGGACTGGCCGTGGACTTTGCAGATTTCCTGTCAACACATAACACGGGGTTAAATAAATATAAAACCACACATAGTACAGAGGAAGAATAGAGTTTTTTTAAGGATAATATACCAACCTGACACCACAAAAGAATGAACTCCAAATGAGGACAGTTCTCTAGAAGATCTGAAAATGCCATCACCAATCTCTGCAAGTATTTGAATGGTACAGATGAAGCTGTAGCAGCTATATCTGCTGGCCTGACAGCCATAATGCACCTCTTAATTAAACTATCTTCATTTAGTCGTAGACTTAGAATTAGCGCTCTTGTTGTCTGCCCTTCAGACAACGCAGCATTGACCACCTGTGAACCAACAAAAAGAAAACACATATTTATATAGCACGGTCCTCACATTACACATTTTGTAAGAGTGTGTAAATCAGAAGAATTAATTATATAGCCAGATTTAGTTCCTTGAGGAATAAGCATTTCACAATTTGGTCCTTGATTTCTTATTGAAGCCACTTAGGTTTTCCGCTATGAAATTTAGATCCAACTAGTCCTCATGCATATTTGGTTCTAGTCAGAAATACTGTTTTCCATTAAATAACTAGAACTAAATTCAACTCAATATGGACCTCAACAATGTAATTTGGACTCGATTTAGTCCTCAGAATACGAAAAATACCCTTTCTTAATTAGAGCGAAATATGCATGGGGACTAAATCGAGTCTGAACTGCGGAGTGAAGAACCAAATTCAGTTCAAAAGAAAACCCATGACCAAATTGAGTACAATGTATAGACGAAGGCGATGATCCAAGAGTGGTATATTTACTATAAATTAGTGCCATATTCAACGTCTTTAAACCTCCCAAATCAAAATGGTAGAAGTAAATACAAAGACTTACGTCTGGAGTGACATCAATGTCAAGATCAGTGGGATCAAAGATGAAAGAGTCATCCATTGAGTAAATCAAAACTCCTTCCGTGGTTGCTGCTGCCCAACTCCTTCCTGTTGGGGCAATCCTCAGGCATTTTGTTCGGATAACTGGTCTTCCCTTATTAGGCATTGATCCGGGCAAATCATAAGCCAGTTTGTTCCTCGATTGCCTATCAATGCCTTCTTCAATATCACTATCGTCATCCTCGATTAAATCCAATGGGCCCGCATCTGTCATATTCTTTGAGTTCAAAAAATCCAATACCCCATCTAACGAGAGATTATGCGTTAATTGAAATCTTCGAAGCAAAACCTACGATTTTCAAAATACATCAATTAGTAAATTAAATACAAATTAGCTTAAAGTTTATAACTTGTAATAGATGAGCTATTTGATCTCATATAGTGCTTCAAAACTTAGTTCATAAGCTAGGTTAGAAATCTAGAATATGAAATCAAAGGTATGTTTAATACGATCTTAAAATAAACACGGAGTCAAAAGTGACCGATAAGCATAAAGCTCATCAGCTTATTTAAAAGCTACTACAAGAAGTTTATTAAATAAGCTTGCATTCTTTGAATGACTTCATCCAATCAAAGCTTATTCGAAAAGCGTCATTAAAAGCTCATAGATAAGTTATAGGCTAACTTATGGCGTCTGAGTCTCAAAGGATTGGGTACTTTGAAAGAGTTCTAAAAATATGTGAAGAAAGAACAGATTATAGAATACAACAACATTTGACTAAAAGGCACACACCTGATCAGCAACATCATACATACAGATATATTTACTATTTCCCCCAGCCAATATGTAGCTTCCATCAGCAGAGTAGCACAAGGTTGTGAAGAACTTGCCAGAAGTGGAGTTAGCTGCAGATCTACGATCAGTCATTAAACGCCCACCTGCAATGTCCCTGCGCCCTTCAATGGTGTACATCAACACACCCTCAATGGGATCCCAAAAATGTATTTGCCCATCTAATGTGCTGCACGCTAATTGCTTTCCATCTGGGCGATAAACCACCGTGAGGACATCATG